TTGGTGCATATGAAATGTCGGATTCTTAAGTGATTGTATAAAACTGTATATCTTTCTTCAAAAGCTGTTTATTCAATCAAAGTATGCTCCATTCGCTTCAATACACTTCTCCCAACGAGATTTTAAAGCGTAGATGCCTGTCTTAAAAAAATTTTGGTCTTTAGAATTAATAAACTCTGATATCGAGTTTTTTAGACTGTCTTCATTTTCATGGTGTTTGCCTCTTAAAAACAGCTCTAAATGCTTGAAAAAATGAAAATCGGTCGGCGAGAGATCCGGTGAATATGGTGGATGCTGCAAAACTTCATATTCCAGTTCGTTCAGTTTCGCAATTGTTTTGTGCGATGTGTGCGGCCGAGCGTTGTCATGGAGCAGTAGCGGGCCATGCCGATTCACAAGCGATGGGAGTACAATTTGGTGTCTCAATATCGTTGTATGGTCAACTTTCATCCTGATAGCAAGTTCCCTCGTGGATACGGCTGGATCCGCTTCCACTAGAGCCTTCAGGTCATCATTATTCACAGACGTTTTGGGTCTTCCGCGCGGCTCATTTTGCAGTGAAAAATCGCCAGTCCGAAATTTTTCGAACCAACGCTGCACTTTCCGATTGTTAACCGTATTCTCCCCAAACGCTTGGTTTATGTTGCGTGCAGCTTTTGCAGCACTATTACCAAGTTTGTACTCATATAAGAAAATGACGCGAATGTCGGCAGAATTCATATCGGTAATAAACTCAAAAGAAATAAAAAAGGGAAGACCTTCGAGAAAACCTATTTTGTTGAAATGAGTCTCTGGCAATGGACAATACGAGTATGAATGAGGTTATGCCAAATACAAAAGTATAACGAAAACAGGGAGGAAAACGTCCGCATGTAAAGAGAATGCGACATTTCATACGCACCAACCTAATATCTCCGAGACTCGCAACGAGAGATGAGTGCGCGCCGCTAATTGGTACGCGCATACATGTACACCCGGAGGAAAAACTCGGGCTCTATAAAAATTCGATCGAACTTTCGTTCTCGCGTTTACGCACAGTCCCGAGATTAAATACCTTCGGTATTGTAAAGATACAAATTACGCGATTTCATTATGGAGTGTGCTCGCTCTCGGCTCTACGTGAAATTAAGCGAGGTACACGGGGCCTGCTGTTATTCAATCTTTAATATTAAATCACTCCGTAATTACGTCTCGATTTAAATTTCAAAGGGAGAACGGAGAAAGAGACCCCCGAGTACAAGCGCGAACATCGCGAATCTCCACCCTCTTTCTCTTTTTCTCTGCGCATAGTAAACTGAGAGAGAGAGAGAGAGAGAGAGAGAGAGAGAGAGAGAGAGTTCTACTCTCTCGTCAGTGCTCGACACAGAAAATCGACGTTACAAGACCCCTCGAGAGCGCGCGCGAGTGCACGACTAGGTGCCGATTCGCTTTGTCGCGAGGCGATCAAGGTCCTTCTTATCCTACCGAGAGGCCGCGATAAGATAAGCCCACCGACGACGCTCGGTACTTCCGATCGCGTTTTGAACGCGCTTCGGCTCCGGTATTACCGATCGCCACTATTTGCGAGCACGCAATTAATTTCGCTCGCTCGGCTTCGCGCGATTTCCCGGTCGTCCCCATTTTTTCCTTTTCTCTTTTTTTCCCTTCTTTCGTAGATTGTTCTTTCTTGTTTGGCTTCGTGTCGGCGTATTTCGCGTAGCACGCGCGTGAATCCGACGTGATAAATATATATCTTTTTTTTTTACGACGATATTAATGCGACACTGACGCGCGACGCTGTCACGACTCGTGCCTGGCCTGTCACCTTCGCTGTCGTAGAATATGTTTGTACACGTGCTCGTAACGTTTTGCAGCGATTACGAATTTCGAGAGGGAGACAGGGTGAGGGGGGGGGGGGTCAGGCCGGTTAGGCCGCTCTGCAGTGTTTTATCCGACGCGTCATCGCTCGCCTCGCGATAACGCCGTGTGTGTGTGCGCGCGCGCTTTAGTTTCCCGTTTTTTCTTGTTTTTTCGTGCGAATTTGTAACATCTCTCACGAGCGTAATCTCGGTGCGCAGCCGATGCGGATATTCGAATGATGTAACGCGCTCTGTACCGTCGGAGAATTTCAGAACGCGAGTATCAAGGTTGCGCGCTTCGCTCGCTCGCGCGGATCTATCGAAAGCTGTGCGCCGCGCGCTCCGGAAGGACAAGCGGAGAACTTATCTTTACGTAGGAAATAATGGAGCGTTACTCACGAACGATCGGGTTTATGTAACAGCTTCGACACGTATACATTTGTAACTGTTCTTTCGTGCACGAGTCGTCGCAGCCGTGATCGCATTTCGCGCGAAATCTCGATCGTTGCTGCTCGAAGATCGCGAAACTGGCCGAGGAGTCGCGCGTTTCGCGGCGGGGAAAAAAATCCGAGACGGGAGAGACTCACGAGGAGGAGAATGTTCCGATATGCGAAACACCGCCCTCTCGTTTTTCCCGGTGACGACGACATACCCGGGTTTTCCCTCCGTGTTACGGAGTTGCTCTAAAAGAAGCTCGGTCAAGTGCCGTAAGCCAACCCGAACAGCTCGACGACAGTACACAAACGCGGACTATCTTTCTTATCTGTCGGCACGCGCGTACCACATCGTGACCGTAATCTTACTAGATGATGTTAGCTGAAGCTCATAACCTGGATAAAGGTAAATTCTGTTGGAGAGAAATTCACAGGGAAGTAGGGAAGATCGGTTTTTGTTAGAGCGAGAACATCGTAATCGCCGTATGTCGTAATCTTTCTGTTTTTCATTATATAGTGTATCCACCGAGAGTAAGCAGTTTGGTTTCTCCGAGTTAAATGTAACGGAACTGAGACTAGAGAGGCAAAACAGGCAACAATGTCGCGGACGTCCTTTGTCTTACATGTATAATACCGCCAAGGTTTCGAAGAGATGGCGGAAGTTAACGGAATGGGAGATACGAACGTGTATGAAAAGAATCGAACAAAAACGAAGGAACGCGTAGTAAATGATCGTTAAACTGAATATTTTAAATAATTGATCAATTCCCTCCCGAACTAGCGCCTTATAATTCAAAATTGCAAGACGCAAAGATAAAATTCAGAGATAACATTTCCGCGGAACCGACGGTGACATTTCTTGTCCATCGACAACTCCAAAGTTTTATTTGCGGAGAGCTTCCTTTTTGCCGTGCGAAGTACACGTGAAAATAATTTTCAATGCCTCCCCTGCCCCCAATCGGACATCGCGAGCGCGACTCGACGAGCGAGTCTATCTCTCTCTTCTAGCGAACGTTCAGTTGTGATGGTCGGATGTGTTAAAAAAAAGGACTTCTCAGTATCACGACGCAAGTGCCGAAGTAGCAGCGTCACTCGTACGAATGTAGCAGGGTGGAACGCTTATGTTAATGAGCCCGCGCGATTACCAGACGGGGACGGCGAGCGGAGAGATGACGTCGAGGCGATAGAGACGTCCAGACCGGATGCGAAGAAGGCCGTGAAGGAGGAGAAGGACCGGATAATCGTCATCGTGCCGCGCGTACGTACAGACTATCGACGCGTTCTTAACCCCGTGGCCGTTCTTTTTCCCTGCGAGAAGCGTCCCCAGAAGTAAAGGAGGAGGAAATCGCGGACGTACGTGTGTACCTACGTGCCATGCACACCTGCGCCACGGGCGCCTCCCACCTGCGAGCCACCTGAGACCGAGATATCGCGGAGACGACGACGACTTTCGACGCACCTGACCGCCAACACTCGTACGTATCTGGTGCAGTCGATAATTACTCCCCTCGCGACTCCCGGCCGCGGAGTTTCGGAAGAAAGACGAGCGGAAGATTTCGCGGGACGTTTCCCCCCCCCCCCCCCG